CCCCCTATAATAATATCCTTTAAATTGGGAGAACTGGGAGGAAAAGCGAAATCTGAATTTATCGAAATAATTCGGTCACCGAATTTATTGGCGTATCTGAATCCCGTGTTAATTTTTCCATATAAAATTCAGTTTCAATATTGGTGTTAGCGATGTTCTGGAAATGCCCAACTGAGAAGCACGTCGATGAGTATACACTCTGCCGTACAGCCACCACAACTTCTTCATTGCAAATAGTACGATGAACATTTCATCGTTGATGATTACATACTGACTCCGTTCCTAAAAACGGCTGATTAAGTTTCTAATCATGTTTGCACTGGGAGCTGTTCGTATATTAAAATGCGGTATTTTTTGTGCGTTGTAACCATACATCGTCAGTTCTTGCACTGAGTATGTAGCCATTATAAAATTTAATAAAATTCTTTATAATCTACAACAAAAATAAATTAAATTATTACTTGGCAAATATTATGTAAATTTATATATGATACCTACAACTTAACTTTATACAGATATTTTCAACTAAGCAAAAATAAATATCTTATGTTTATTTTAAATTACTTTTATAAACGCACTTTTGTTTATGAAACGAGCATTGAGATAATCTCGCGATCGTATTAGAATTTCCATAATTCCAATGACGCATTTATTTTCAACATTATTTTGCAATGATTACAAATTGCATATGTTTACAAAGGAATATGCAAAGTCTTTACTTGAATCATTCGCGATTTTTCGCATTGTTTTAAATTAAATGTTCTAAAAGACTTATATACAAGAAAATAATATTTTATATTATACAAATACAATATACAAATAACTATTAAATTTATAAAATAGAAGAGTTTTAATAAGTTCATGGGATGGGAAACAACAACTTTATGGCAATATTTGACTTTATTTATCAACATAGTCTCCTTCAAGAGTGATATATTCATTCCAACGCTTCTCCAACATTTCATTACCATTCTTGTAGAACGATTAATCTTTGGCCTGAAAATACGCTTCAGTTTTGGCAATCACTTCTTTATTGGAGCCAAATATCTTTCTCTTGAGCATTATTTATAGGTCTGGGAGCCAGATCTGGAGAATACGGTGAATGGGGAAGCAATTCAAAGTGCAATTCGGTGTATTGTCTTGGAGAAAGAGCATTTTTTTCTTTTTCATTTGTGGTAGTTTTTATTGCAATTTCTTCCTTTAAATGCACCAATTATTATTATTGTTATATAAGTTATAAGTTATTGATGATTTTTCCTTTCTCATGGTAATCAACGAATAAAATTTCGTGCGCGTCCCAAAATACGGAGGCCAAAACCTTACCAGCGGACATTTGCGCTTTGAACGGCTTTCATCGTTTGTCCACTCAGTTGACGACTGATTTGACTCTGGAGTGTAGTGGTGGATCCATGTTCCATCCATTGTTACATACCGCATGAAAAAAACATTTTTATTTCGCTTGAACAACTACAAACAGCGATCGAAATCATCAACTCGTTGTTTTTGGTCCACTGTGCGCAAACGTGGTACCCATTTCGAACAGATCTTTCTCATGAGCAAATGTTCATGTAAAATGGTGAATACACTTCCTCCTGCTATCTTCAGGATGTCAGCTATCTCACGCAACTACAATTTACGATTGGCCAAACCCATTTTGTGCACTTTTATACGTATTTAATGTTCATATTAGTTCAGTTATATACAATTATGTGCAGCATCATGTTAGTAATATAAATTTCATGTTTTGAAAACGAAATTTCAATGTTTCAATCAATAAGACTTTTCCTGGCACATTATTTCAATTGAAAAAATCGTTCAACCATATCTCCCAATGTCAACTTGTTATCCAAAATCAAAAATATTCCTTCCTAAATTTATTTTTGACGAACTTCATTTTTGGAGATCAACGAAATAATTGTCTAACTCGTCGGATTTTAGTTATAATTGGAAAAATATCATCATGTGTAACATCACTTTCCATTTTAGAGTAAAAAAAAAATACTGAAATTTGCCTGTAAAACCGATTAACAACTAGAAATATTTACTTATTCAATTTTGTTGTTGTGTTAAACATTTAGTTTAATGTACTATAAACTAGAAACTAGATATATAAGCACAGTCATAAAAAAAGAACAGTAAGAGACACTAATTTAGCCATTATACCAATCACAGAACGGGTAATGAACATTTCTCGTATGAATTAATGGATGTATTTTGAATTACAAAAATATATTTAAATAGCTTTTTAAATATCAATAAAACTTAGTAATAAAGATTTTTAAATAGCCGATTCGAGTAATTAAAGTAAAAAATATTTATTTTTTGAGACGTTAAATATTGTAAAGAGCTATATTATACGTTTCACCCTGTATAATGAGTAACATGAGGTTAAACTATTAAATGTCTCGTGACCGGTCGCTTGCGAAAACTTATTATATTTTATTGTGGGATATTCGGTTCAGCAATTAAGCAACATTTTATGGCGTATTTAATTGTAGCGAGTTATTATCTTCCGCGTTTAACTCGTGTGCCTCGAATCCTTTATTTCTGCGTTTAGTTTATTATTGATGTTAGAATGCTTGGGTTTTTGATGAAATTGCCGATGGCAATTACCGGCTTTAGTAAAGAGGATCATCCTTGAAAGTTTAATAACGATTCGAATGCAAAGTTAGGGTGCAGCAGTGGGCTTTATCTTTAACCATCCTCAAACTATGCCCATTACATTAATGCAATCCGCAATATTTTCGCAGGAAAGCAACTATTGTAAGTGGTGGATGAAATCGAAATGCTCGCCCCGGCATTCACATCACCTAACCCAAGTACTAATGCGAATCCGATAAAATGTAATTTCGGGAATACAAGATTAATGGAAATGCACCTAATTGATTTCTATTATTAGAATATCTTTTATTAAATCTTATATTTCAATAATTTGCATTTATTTTTTGTATTTTTTTAACATTATATCTTAAGAAATTATATATTTATTATTATTTTTAGTTACTACAGTTCTTTGATTTGGTTTTGTATCCAGTATATTTTGTAGTTCCATAATTATACTAGTATTGTTCTTAGAAAACAATGATTAAAATTAAGATATGCAATAATGTTTAATCGATGAAATATGTTTACTTTAATCTACTTATAATCTACCACAGAAGTTTGATAATTAAATTTAATGTTTTCTCAGCGATAATGAGAGATGCAATAAAAAAAATATAGTAATTGGCCGAGACCCTACATCCTGTAATATCCATATTCGAGCAATTTACATAAAATTATTATTTTGGTAATAAAAGCAACTATAATAATCTGTACAGATTCAGAAAAATTGTACTGTTAGAAAAATTATGCAAAATATAAATACAAACGTTTAATAATATTTCGAGTATAAAATAAATATCAATAAACTTACATTTTTAGTTAACATTATTTTATTAAATTATCGATTTATTGCGCACAAATTGACGTATTCATGGATTAAGTTTAATGGGTCTTAATTATTCCAATATATAAATTGAGGTATTGACGTATTATCATTAAATTACATTTTATTGCATTAAATGTATTTATTTGAAAGTTTTAACTTGAATAAATTATCCAATCAATCAATCAATATTGGCGTGATGGCCATTAGATTTCAGAGATTCGCGAAATTATCCTGTTTCATTTAAACCAGTGTCTGCCAAACTGTGTACCACAAAAGATTTATAAATAATGTTGGATCAGAAAATTTAATGAATTTAATTGGCATTTTTATTTGGTGTGCCGCGAAATATGCAGTGAGCTAAAACGGTATGACTTTTGGGTTACCTTGTAAAAGTTTGGTTCATAATATTTTTTAATATATAATAAAATATCCTGTAACTGGATTAAAAAATACAAATTAAATAGATACTTTTCCAGGCGCATCCACCAAAATAGTTGTTTACCACATATTGTGCATGTATATTATATTCATACTATAAGATATAATTATAGTAATCACAATTTACAGTTCAATATAATAAATCTCTTGATTTTTTTTTTTGGAACGCTAAATAGATCCGATAACCCTGACACACTTCGTCAGTTTACTCTAGTTCTTGTTACAAACAAGCGTTTTGAGGTAAGGTAGGTTAAGGGAGAAATAAAGAAAGAACGGCAAATGGGAAAAAAGAGAAGTATAGCATAATGTGTAAATCTAGTCGCGAACCCCGGGCTGAGTGGGTGGTCAAGGAGGTCTTACCTCCTCGAAAGGGTCAGATCGCGTGCCACAAAGTGCGGACCGACCATCGAGTGGAAAATGGCGTGTTCTCGGTAGCCAGTGGCGTAGCGAGCTCCAAAAACTACCCGAAGGACCGCAAAACTCATTCGGACTACATCTACGCATGTTCGTCGGACGGGACTCGCAAATTATTGCGACTTCGAAATTCCTTCAGTGACCACCGCGGTACGCTCATGGTGGAAAACAACCATAAATCTCTTATAAAATATAGAACCGCATTAAAGCACGACCCGATCGGTGGTCAAAGAGGGACACAACACTCGAGAGCCTTTCGCAACCGCCGACGGACCGCCGCGACAAAACTCATACGCTTATTCCAATCGATTCGATTGGTTTGTTATACCTACAGAAAGAACGAATCTTCCGTTCACAAAAAGTGCACAAGTGAGAAAAAAAAAAACGAAAAACCGAATCGAAAAGTTTGTCGCCTTGCTTTTAGCAAAATCGATAATCGCTCCGAAACGAACAAAGGGAGGAAGGAAACCGGCTAACTGCGCTAACCGCATGATTTGTATGTAAATATCGAAAGCTTTAATTTTAAGAGAAAAGTTAACAAAAACAGTCCACAAATGAAAATAAAAACGGGCAAAACAAAAATGACATTCATTTACGTGATGCCTCTCAATGAAAACGACGATCTTTATTATGACAGGGTTATCGAGAACGGGTATAAAATCGATGAAACCGATCGATTAGCATTTTTTGATTTACGGTTACAATTTTATGATTTCAGCAGTGTTCCGCCACAGAATGGAAACCAGCAACCGGAGCCATCTAAAACCAAGTGCCAGATGTTCATGGAGAAGCTGGCTTGCGCTAGATGCAAATCAAAAACGGATGAAATCAACGAAACCGACGACAAAACCAAGAAGGGTTGTTTCAGTTGCCTGAAGAAAAAGAAGAAGGAGGTGGAGGAAATCATTATAACGGATACGGAAGGCACCATCAAGAAATCTTTGACGGTCATGGATAGATTGAAGTGTTGTCGCAGCAACAAGATTGGAGATGAAGTTACAACCGGGTGTTGCGGTAGGAAAAAGCGGAAAGACAGCTGGGCCAATAGAAGAGACAGTATCTTAAGCGAACCAACTCCAATCACCAGAAGGTATTTTTTTTGACTTAATTTTCTTTAATAACTGCAATACAAATTCGAGAAAAATAGGACGTGCTGAAATTTGCAAACCGATGCAAAAGTTAAAATACAATTAAAAATGATAATACCTTTAAATAATTACAAAACTTCATATCAATAGAATAAGATAGTAAAATAAACCTTTATCTTTAAAAAATAAAACATATACTCGTATAATAAACTACAGGTTCAATTGGTAAAGCGTTGCGTGGTAATTATTGTTAATTGTTTGTTTGCAGAGATAAATGCAAGAACTTCTTCAGAGCCGTATTCTGCTGCTGCGGTTGCACCTGCTGCAAAAGAGCGTCGAAGGTCGAGGATGATGCCAGTCGTCGAGCATCGATGTTGAGCAAAAAGAAAAGCTTAACCCCGACGGTTCTGCCGCCCGAGGTATGCCGTTATCCGATTAAGAGTGGAGAAAAAAAACAATTATTTTCCGTGACCTTGGCGAGGGAAATAAGTGTTTCCCGAGCACGCGAACCGATGCAAAAAAATATTCTAACCGTTTCTTCTATTCCAGGAACCCAAATCCAAACTGGACAGCAGCCTGGTGGAATACACGTCGACGATGAAGGCCGCCATTCCAGTTCTTCCAATAGCACTCGCATACTTCTGCCTGTTCTTCAACATTTTCACACCGGGCATCGGTATTCCTTACATATTTTTTTTTTCAATAATGACTATATTGACTTTCATTAATTTCAGGGACCTTCTTCAGTGGTTTGTTCTGCCTCTGCATAGGCATACCTAGGTTCTCGCAGCGAGACGGCGCAAGGCCCCGATTCGGATCTTTCATCATAAACACTATAATTGGCTGCGGTCAACTTTTCACCGTCCTCTTTTGTCTCGTGGGTTGGGGTTGGTCCATCTGGTGGGGCGTCATCATGCTTAAGGTTGCCAGTAAGTTATACATTTAATAATGCAAATGTTAGCCATTATAATCCGCAAATGTTTCAGAAAAACACAGGAAGCTGAAGAAACTGGAGAAGAGGTTGGAAGAGCAACAGGAAAAGACTGCGACAGGTAATCAATCTAGGATAGACGTAGAGAAAGGGCGGTCGTGAGGTTCGCACAACGAGGAATTTTTGCTACTTGTACAGGACTACTCTTGAACTATTCCATTAAGATAAACTTAATAGATATATCTTCCAAGAACTACTACATTTCTAAGATTTTCCGCATCACAAATTCATTCATTATTTCATCAGGTTTCTATAAGTATCGGTTGATTTAAATTATATTATTTTCAAACAGATCTACGAGGATATATTGGAATGTTTCCGAAAAATTCATTCATTTCATGCATTTTTATTATTTTTAACAATAGTAGTTGGTTTAATAACGCCATGAGAAATAAACTATATTTATTTTAACATATTTTTTCTTTATTAAAAAAATCAAAAACAGAAATCATTATTTATACTTTTTACGACATTCAATTAAATAATTATCGTTTTGATCGATAACCCTTTGGTCATAATTTTGACCAATAACTATGTTAAATAAATAACAATTATTATCATCCAAAATACCCATATGCCATTTTAGTTTGATCTAGGAACTGCTCGATCTATCCTCGTCTCAAAAACTCTAACGCACAAGATTATTTGATACTGTAATAACTTCTCTATATAAACAAACGTTCAATATGATCCGGTTTTACAACTGCAGTTCTATTAACTTTCAAATGTTTAGTATAAAACGAAATAATTATATATTTCTTTTATTCAACACAATTCATACTGCCACATTAAATAATTTAAATAAATAACACGAAGATACTACCCAGATTTAATTCCTATCGGAAATCTGAAGCTAAATAAAACTCAACTTAATTTATAGAAATTTTTAAATTTATTTTTGTCAAAAAATCATGAATTGAAAAACATAAATATTCAATTCACGATTTAGAAACGCATTTGTACTATTTACAAATGAAACAGGCTAGAAGAGCTAAACAACTATTTGACTTGGAAAAGAAAATAATTTTATTTTTACAATGGGTTCACTTCTTCTAACTAATATTAGTTTTAAAATTTTAATTGTAAATATATTAATATACTCTTCCATATAAATTGTATTCTAAGTAAATAAAAACAATATGTAAATGTGGTTTAGGGTAAAACTAAAAAAACAAATCAAGAGAATGAAAACTTGTAGACTTCGAATGGAGAGTGAGCGAAAAAGAGTGGATGGAATTATGGCAGAAGATGATGCATCTTCGCTGGACGAAAATGCGGATTTATTTTGAGCACTTTTTGTATTAAACTATATCTAACTATTAGAGTCATGGTGGTGGATTTATTATGAAATAAATAAAATACACACAGGATTGGTATATTTTTGTATTATTACAAATGTAATGAAAGGAAATGTTAAAGTTATCTATCCGTTTTTGTTACCTTTATGATATATTATTTGAAAGAGTATTTTATTGTATAAAAAGAATGCTATTGATGATAATTTGTAATATTAAAAATTATTGAAGAAAATTCTATTATAAATATATTCTGGTATAAATATTATAAATAAAATTTATACCAACTATCTTTGTATTATTTTCCTTGTTTCGCCAAAATCAATCATTCCTAAAATTGTATCACCTAGCTTCATATGCTTTCTTGTGTTCTCTGGCGTCAATGAAATTTGCACAGCACCTTATTCTATCGACATAGCGCCTTGTGATTTCTGTTTCTGAAAATTTAAAAAAATGAAGTAAAGAGTCTTCAGTTCTAATGAAGAGATCATTAATTAAAAGTTGAAAAACTCCAAAAAGCCGATTTTGAGGAATGTTTTGAAAGGTGTCTCTACTGACTTAAGAAATGTATTGAAATAAATGGAAATTATGTAGAAAAATTAGAAAAAAATGAAATTTAAAAATATTAAAATAAAATTGTTTTTATTTTGTTTTTTTCCAGCCAACTTAGCGAACTTTTTTTAGACCCCACGTATATGTAGAGTTTTTTTTTTGCAATTTTCAGTGTCAATTAACGCGATCTCCGAAAACTTTCTGGCGAAGATTTTTGGCGAGTTCTCTCCTATATTCATAGGCTCATCTGCAAGTTTCACTTCAAATTAGGGAACCGCGACTAAAAGGAAGAACCTTTTCATACGAGTGGGGTTGATGTACTACCACCGAGAAGCTAGATATACGATTTGTACTTTTATACAATAAAAAATAAAGTTCTGATTAATATATGTAACTTACCTTGCTTCGCGATTTCGCCTTCAAAATTATAAGTCGAGAAATGTTATATTTTTAACATTATATACTACACTCTTGTATGATTATTTAATTTCGCACGTTGCGTTCCAGAAACCTACTTGAATACATCGACACACAAAAGCTAAGCAAACAACGCAGCAATCGCAGAATCTGGTCGGCATTGAAGACTTGTCTTAGTTTACAATTACATTTCTTTAAGGTAGAGCCATCTCCATCAATGAAGACAGTCCTGCAGATTGACAGGACATCTCTTAATACAACACTATATCGTTTTCGGATCTTTCGTTTAGTGAAATGCCAACTGCGGACGATCAGTTGTTTTTCTGAAGTACGGATGCAATACTTAATACAATAATGTTTCAGTTGTAGTTGTTAACTTTAGATATAATTAGTAATAAACTAATTGACATGTGCTGTATGTCAACTTTAAATTATTAGTTCATCCATAAATATAACATTTAAAGCCGTATTATCTCGGTCATTACCTTTTCATAATTTTATGTAATAAATGATTGCAAATGCTAACTACAAAGTGTGCAATTAATAATATATTATACAATTATATAAAATCGTCGATTAAAGTGTAAAAAAATAGTATTTTAGATGTTATACATTTTAATGTAATAAATAAATGCAAGTTGATCTTTTTAATATAAAAGAATTAAATTCATTATTTATTGACATATAAATAAAAACAAAATTATTATTTTTTTTGTTTATTAATAATAATCTATTATAATTTTTTAAACATTATATCCTTTAATATATGGAATGCTTTTCCATATGTCTGAACTCTAAACATAATTTTAAGAAATGTTAATGTATTATTAAGTGCTACCTTAAAAAATATTATTTCGGGAAATTTTTTAATTGTCACTTTTATTGAACCAGAAATGATTTTCAGATATTCCGGTATAGTTCTTAGAAAAGATCCAAAATGAAATTACCTGATAATTTGAATTCTTCTACTCTTAATTTTTTTGCAAGAAAATTACATTTTATAATTAATATATTTTTGTCATGTTATATAATATTTCTTGGCCTATAAACAATTGCCCAGTTGAAATTGCCCAAAAAAAAGTGATACTTACATTGGTTTATTGATTCTGAAATAAATTTTATCAACTTTCTCATTTTCAATTTGATCATTTTTAAAACGACATTATTTTTCATAAGTATTGTTATGAAACTAATTATGTCCATGTGGGTTCGTAGTTTTATAAGATTGTCACATACCGTCGAAGACACGTCGCACGCTAAATCTTCTATCAGAATCAATTGCCTTTGAAACTTCTTTTTTTCATACACAGAAATTTTGCCAGAAATAATTATCGTAGTCCTGTATTGGTCATGTTTTTTATGTTCAGCAGTCAAAGATAATCAGAAGGTATGGTTCTTATAGAGAAATACTGAATTTATTTTGACATCTGCGTTCTTTTGATTTAATGGCACCAGACATATAGAAGAACAATCAAGTCAAACAACCTAAAACATTGCGTACGGTCATGAAATATACTGTGAAAGCAATCTACATTTTTTAGCAGGAAAATGGTGCACAATTGCAGCGTTGTTGTTTTTCTCAAATAAAACCAAAAAAATATTTTCATGTAAAATAATAAAAACAATGTGTGATTACAATTTTATTTGAAGTATATATTTCAAATTAAAATACTATCCTACAAACTACTTTAGAAAATTAAACGAAACTATATGTTTAGGTTCTCGAGCAAGCATAATCATTAAAAGTTTGAGTATGTCGTCATATAATATATTGAATATTTTAAGCTTTAGTTACTCTATTTCTAGAATATTGATAATAATATCAATTTTCTGCAATTATTAAATGCAACAAAAAGACAACAATGAATAATTATAGCTACAAAAGAATGAAATAAAAATATTACAACATTTGTTTTGATTTATTTTATATTTTTTAAATTTATAACATATTCAAGAATATATATTTTATAATTAAACAAGTTACCAGTTAATAATAATTAGTGTTTGTAGTAATAATTCCTAATGATTGGAAATACAAAAAAAAAATATTGATCATAATATTTTTATTTTTTATAATAAGTAAATTATATAAATAATTACAGATAACAAAAATACTAAATAAAGTAATATTTAATGTTCCAAAATTTCCGGATTTTGAATCGTATAATCAAACAATTTTTCCCATATAAATATATGTAATAATATACGATAATGCGTTACATTTTTCGAGTAATTTTTCTTACAAGTTGTTTTGCTCGTTAAGTGAAATGGTCGTTATGCGAGGTGCTCGTTAAGCGAGGTTCCACTGTAATTAGTTTATCATTTATGATACATACCTAATTATTTGTAATTCTCTTATGGTTGTCTTCTTGCTGCTTTTGCTTCGAAGACATTTTTGAAAGGGTTATTAAACTTTGCACACACAAAAATCACATAATTTGTCTGAACACAAGTTTGAAAAAATGATGTAACAAGCGCACAATCCGGGACTTCTCTTCTCCTCGTCCCTCGTTATGCGAAACTTTGCTGGTTAATCGAGGTTCCATCAATCAACATCAGATGATATGGACTATCAAGATTCATCCCTTGACCAACCAAATTAAATGGTAATTCCTCTTTCCTGTAGATTTTCTTCAAAATTATAATTCAAGTAATTTTTATCATTTTGTAATTTCTCTACATAATTTCCATTTATTCCAATACATAACACCTCAATACCTCAACACCTGTTTATGTAACATCTGTGGATCTATTGGTATTGAAAGAACCTAGAATACGTTGCAATATAAAACTATGTGTTGCGCAATCAATAATCAATTGTAAATCTCTTCTGGGTGTTGTTCTTATGCAGATTCACTAAGTGAGCTTTTTAAGATTCTGAAATGCACAAAATGTTTGAAATTGTTCCGTTTTCGGAAATAAACGTAATAAATATTAATACAATACTTTCCATATTCATACAATTATTAAGCTAAGTAGAATATAATAAATTATTAAACATACTTTTAAAATTTCTTAAAGAATTTTGCATTTGCTTAATTAAAGTAATTGTGTTTATTCGAAAAATCTTGCTTCGTTTTAGCTCGAGGTGGAGCGAATAAAAATAATTCGGCAATGAAGGCATTTCCGTGAAATTGCTTTCCTTTAAAATGTAGTTTGTAATTTAATTTTCTTGTTCTGATTATTAAAATTGTATTTTGCGTGTAAAATATGCTGGTGACCAATACATAATTAATGAAGAAAATATTAGCAACAAGTTAATCATTACTCGATTAAAGAAAACTGAAACTACAAAATGTATTGGCGCTTGCGAAAATTACAAAAAAATATAAACAGTAATTCAATCTCTATGGACCAACAAAATTCTCTCGCAAATCACTAATTACTTGGGAGAACTCGGCGACGAATTCTCATTATTTTTAAGAAACGTAGAATAATTATTATTGCAACAATACAAAAAAAACATAATTTAACATTTTCATACAATAATAATTACAGAAAAAGTAAAGTGCTAGAAAAAGCAATTGATCATAAGTCCAATAAATATTATATAATAATTTACTTTCTTTATTTCCATAGTTTGGTTAAAGAGGTAACCAAAATTTTTCTTAAAGGAATAAGTACTGTATTGCATTTTTGGAAAATTTTGTCATTCGCGATAGGAAGAGGTGAAGATGTAACAAAAACTGAATATAGTATAAATGAAATTTAGTCACATTTCTAGTAAAAAACTGACTTAAACCGTTTTGTTTTCGTATCTCAACTTTTCAACAAAACCGGAAGTAATTGTCAATGGAGATGAAATAAAAATTGTAATAGAAAAATCAATTCATAAAATATTTTCAAAAAACCGAAGAAATTAATTCTTCTTGCTTAATTTTATTTTTTAATATTAAAGATTTATGTAATATTCTGAAATTTTTTTTTGGAGATCTTATTTTTACATTTTTTTTTATTTTGTATTTTTTTGTGAAAAACCAGAAAGAAAAGTTGAAATTCGAGCACCGATTTTTTTTTTAAATTGTTTTTGTATAAGTCCTATTATAATTGGAGTATTGTATGTATTTTTTTTTGTTATTTGTCAATTTTTTTCTTCTTGCTACCTCCAAGAAGTAGTCTCATCAATCAACATCTAAGCAACCAATGTCAATTAGTATATAGTTTACACATACTATATAGCAAGGGTGGCCAACTTTTGTGTACATAAGATTCTACCCTTTATCTTAAAAATGTGTCGCGATCGACTTGTTGTGATGGGCGTAGTCTAAATGGTGGAGGTGTGAATTACATGCTAATTTATATATCTACTTATGTAAAAAATAATATAAATATTTAGTAACGATCGACTTGTTGGCAACCCCTGGTATATAGTATAATATATACTTGTAATATATTAAGTCTGAATTATCTGTGAAATGGTTTTTTCTCAGATTAAATTTTGTAAACCATTTTCGAATATGAGTTTCATCGAGTAATCAACGTTAGACAACATGATCAGCGTAGTTTAGCAAGAGATAAAAAATTGCGAGGTTCCAGATTCAAAAATTGCATGAGACAAAATTCAAAAATGTCGCGGGTCCAAAAAAAAATTAAAGTATTTATTATAAACACATTATATTTGATATTATTTTTCTTTGAGAAATCTTTATGTACGGAAAGCTATATTATCAGCAAACATTTTTAAATAAACGTGAACGGTGACAGAAAGGTAGAGTAAAATAACATTGTGATTTTTAAATTATGTATAGTCAGGAATATTTATTATTGTAAACATACAAATACATGGAATATTAAAATATTAAGTACATCATATATTTCATATTTTAATAATTTTATCCATTTGTATAAAGAATTTACTACTAGATAACCAGATATTTTATTTTGAATACCATTGTACGAATTCGTTACAAACATTTCGTTATATTCTATTTGCATGTCTTTGGTATTATGAGAATTAATTATACGATGATCAAACTATACATGTAGTATTAAATTGAAGATACATTGATTGAAAGAGGAAGAGCCATCAAGGTGTACAAAAGTTTTGATAATATTTATTAAAACAGTAACAATTTGCGTTAACACTGCTAAAATGTATTTATATAAAAATGACGTTTTGTAACGAAACTACACAGTAGTTAAAAAAAGACACTTTAATATGTGGATGCTTCAATGATGACTTTATGTAAATATTTAACACGCCTATTTAAAACATGTAATTCTTCTTTGTTTAAAATGTCAAAAAACGACGATTAGGTAAATATTAGCTAATAATTCATTAAAAAATAGATAAAATCCTAATTACTTATAGCTCAGATATATGTATAAGAAATAAAGTAACAATAATTCTGTACAAATAAATAAATTAGCTAGGCAAATCACAATAGTTATAAATATTGGAATTGCTAGAGAAAACATCTTTATGGCCATTTGGGCCGAGGTTGCCAATGTACCGAGACCGCTGCTACTACATGGTTAATAGCGCATGTCGCGCTAAATGGTGTGGATGAGAAGAAATTTATTAAATTAATCATAAATTTTCCTAGTAAGCTTTTGCATCATGTCATATTTACACCGAGTACTCTGCTGGAATACTCGTAGACAACATAGCTGATGCTCACTGCAGGCATAACTTTTATGAAATTTGGTGTTATGCCTCTATATAAACCCAGGACTCCCTCTTTTTTTATGATCGTCTTAAATACCCCTGTCATGGAGACGCTCGATCTATCTACGGTTGCTTCTGTTACAACTGAAATGTCGAAATCATTAATTACTTTTGTTTAAAATCCAATCTCTTTGATATTCTTACCTTGAGCTTGTAATCTAGTCCTGATCAAAGCTAATGGATACGAGCACATTTGACCCAAAGTGCTCGAAATACTTCCACATGCTAAAAGTAAATAGAAACTGGGCTGCTCGCTAGCATGGGCCTGAAGATATTTCTTTTTCAGTGTCTCGTATACTGCTAGATCAATTCCGGCATATGGAATGATGCCGAGAATATTTGGAATGTAACCACGATAAAAACTCATGATGCCTTCTTGGACGTAAATTTTGTATGCTGCATCCATAATTCCTTTGTATTGGCCAGTTTTTCTTAAAGCTAAACGAGTTTTTAGCACCTCTAGTGGATAAATTGCGGATTGGCTAATTCCTCCTGCTAGGGCTCCGGCACAGAATCTTTCGTAAATGCCTAGCTGATGTTTAGAGTCGCCCTTGATAAATCTCTTGACCTGTTCATAAGCTGCAAACTTTATTGCCGATTCAGGTGCAATCTTTAACACGTTTATTCCGTTGCCTCTCCACAAGCCTTGCACACCACCTTCTTTGACCATATTGCTGAAACAATCTCCTATTCGTTGCTTGCTCTGTTGAACCTGTAATATTTAGAATATAAGTAAGGTAAATAGTTCAATTATTTGATGATTTTCACATACCTGAAGAAATACTTTAAGCCTATCTAATGGGGCAGTACATGTACGTGATACTGCTCCCGCTATGCCACCGGCTGCCAAATGTCGCCACCACATCCCAGTTTGCATTTCATTTTGAGTAAAATCATCAGGGACGTTCATATCCTCCCCAATGTCCAAATACTATAAATAAGAAAAAATATACATAAATATTGCAATTTAGTTGAATAAGTTGCTTCAATATTTAAAAACTATATTTCATTGCTATAAAGTCCAACAAAGTACCATGAAATATATCTTAGCATTTAAGAAGTTAGAAAAAATGCTACACAAATCTCACCCTATGCACAAAATTTCCATGTAGCTTATTGAAGAAATACGTTATCTCATAAAAAATAGTCATGCTTTATATATAAATTAACAAATATAAGTAATAAAGAAAAATTATAATGTGTCAAAAATCTTGACAAACTATTGTGAAATTGTTCATAAACAATGTTTTAAAGCTAATAATACAGAAACCTAGCAACCAATCTTTATTCCGCCTACAATTTGTTTTAAATGATTGCACTTATTGCAGATATTTTATATAGAATTTTTATTAGTAACAAATGCGTGTTGGTACACATAATACAAAATACTGAAGCTGAAAATTTAAAGTTCCGGATAACCACCTGCCCAAATGATCGGCTTAATTTAGCAAAACGACGCGCATATTTATATAACATTTGGCAACCTCTACATACAGGCGCACGAGTCGAAAATATATTTTTAATTATTAAAGTACGACTACATTTTATCATAAATGCGTGATTCGCACAAATTATTAAGTTTTTTTTTTAAATAAATTTCGTTAAAAGTTACTGTTGCTAAGGGGTCCCCCAGATGTCTCAAGGTCGTCTAGAAAATTCCACTCGTTTCCTACTGCATGTCTATCACTTTCTCCGTTCGCTACAATTATCTATAATTCTTATTGACTATTCGTGAAAAAAAAATAATTTGATAAGCGGACAATAATTACCTTCGACAGTAACTGGTTAAAAAATAATAGAAAATCCTCGAAGGTATCCGGTAACGGATTCGTTGTTTCTTGTCCGTACATTTTGCACCACTAAATATCACACGAGCAAATTCCCGAAAAATATAATCTACTTAAATATTATTATCACAGATAATGTTATTAGCAGCGGGTCAACTGTGTAACGATAACAGACATTGAGTCAGCCGAGCAAGAGTAGAGAGAGTTACAGGCTAGTTGACACCACTGCCAATTTCTGATGCTAACTGAAACTTATAACAAATGAATGGAATAGATATGCATACGAGAGAGAGACAAAGTGAGAGGCCGGTATTAAGCGGTTCACATGGAGGTGGGGCAGTGACGTGTCGGCGACGAGTTATCTCTGCGGTTATTATCGCACAGGCCATCTGACTAAACGCAAAGCTCCCGTCCAAAGGTCTGAATCGAGAACGAAAATTACTATGCAGGACATATTCAGATATACATAGTCCATTACTAACGGTTCATAAACATATATGGAAAAATTTACACAATGGACTCTATTTCCAAGTTGTATTTTATTTATTTGCTAAAAAAAATACCCATATAACACGCGCAAATAAACCCATTTACATGTGAGCATAATATTTTCATCCCATATGTTCAGACTAAGTCAATGATAGTCAATGATACTTTCCATATCTCTCCATAACAACTGCCGTATTAATCTTTATTTGTTTTTTTAACTAGAATTCAACATATATGATTTATGCTTATATATTTAAGTATTTTTATCATTAAGATATATTTGTAATAATCTTCAAATTTCAAATAATTTATTTAGACAAAAAATACTTCTTGAAAATAATATAATATAACCAATAACTACAGAATAATACATTATATATAATTATGAATCAGGTTTTGCGATTTTTTTTAAACGGAATTTTTGAGATAATATTGAAAACAGATATAAACTGTTTTTTAAGTAAGAATAAAAAAATATAACCTAATTTATGATGGATGGTATAAATTTGTATTAGTATTATTTGCTAATATAATTATTTAAGAATATATTTAGTAATGGGTAACAAATTAACAATTATGTGAACTTTAAAATTTACAATTCATGCTAAGCCAGCGCACACTTTCATATTAATTTATTATAAAAAAATGTTACTTTGACCTTATCTCATTTCCATGGATTGCGATAATCTTTTATAATTTCGCAGAACAGACACAATAGTAATAATTATATCTACACATATTACAAATAAATTTAAAAAAAGCATGCATGCAACGTCTACATATTTGATCTATATTATTTGCACGTTGTAGTATTATCATGAGAAGGCTTGTCAGCAATCGTGCAACTCCATTGGTTGAGAACGAACTACGTCAGCGGCAGTAAGTTTCAGGGTCATAAGCGCTTTCCTCCATTCTCCGACAAGTCATCGCAACAATCACCTTACACAATTGATTATATTTTAAATCATAAAAAAAACACTACTTGGCAATCAATTAATAGTGTAATGTCTAACTGTGATTGCAAATACACCGAAATGGTGTATGCAAGATTGGAATTCGGTAAAAGTAGGTCATTGATGTGTTAAAACAAATCCACGTTCATAATAGTGAAACTGAGTGAAACCCGTCAATGAATGAGATCATTATATAATTTCAGAAATTAAAAAACAGGTTATAATTGTATACAATATTTTGGAATAACCAAGATATCTATCGATTCTTTTGCTTTTAATTGTTGTATTTAATAATGACAACAGTAATATGTCGCATATATATATAACAATAAATTCCCGACGTTAGAAATCCCGACTGTGTCAAAATCCCGACTATATCGAAAATGTTTTCGATAACATTTTTAAATTATTCCGGAGCGTAGTCACTTTTAAATTGTTATTAATAATAAATAACAACAATTAATAATCTAATTGTATTTAAGATTATTTCATATAATTCAACAAAATCAAATAAATTAATAACAATTTATTGTTATTAATAATAAAAATGTAGCACAAGGTGACTACGCTCAGAAATAATTTAAAAATTTTATTGTAGAAATTTTCGATATAGTCGGTATTATGGTTGTCAAGATATTGATATATTCGGGATTTCGGTTGTCGGGCTTGCGATGTAGACCCATATATATGCAATCGCAAGTCGTTTTCTTACTCTACGAACTTATCTGCTTCAATTTTATTACACAACCTAATACAATGGGCAATTTCCACCAAGTCTCATTTATTTTAATGAACCTATTATTAAAATCTCAAATTATTGAAATCTTTATTACTAAATTTACAATTTAAGTACAAAGCGTGCGGCTTTGTTCAGTACTGTTTGAAAATTTCAGTCGATTCCGCTTAATTGAGACAACCGCTTATTAGGGACAAAACTAAGGAAATAACACAAATTTACTTCGCTTTTTCGATACAATATTCGTTTAATCGGGACAGTAATCATGTGTGAATGAATTACCATGGGGCCGGTCCATGGATGCGGCGTAACCACAGGATCCATGGATGTTGTGTATGCGGCGCATGCTACCCATGCGCATGGATGCTGTGTTTCAACCGCATCTATGAACGGACCGCGCCTGATACTAACATATTTATTGTTCCAGAATGTATATAATTTTCTATTATGTAGTATGTATACTATTTTTTAATATGTATGCATCGGGACAAAATGTACTAGTCCCGATGTGTCCCGATTAAACGGAATCGACTATCATCTAAACTTTATTTGTGAAAAATAAATACTAAAAAAATCTAAAATTTGTTTTTTTTCTGTATACAGTCTTCGCTTAGTCCGGTATCAAACATTGCGGGATATTGGAGGAACCGATTAACCTCAATATGCGAAATATTGCTGTACAAATAATGGAAAAAAGTATGCAAAAAAAATATTATGAAAAATATTTACTAATCAGAAATCGGTATAATATGTTTTCGCATCAATTGGCAATTCATCCTACACGGTAAACATTTTCGGTATCTAATTATTATACAATGATGATAACAAGAACACAAATGCTACACATTCCATAAAATAAATTGAAGAAAAATATTATGCACGAATATAAATTTAATAAATAAATAAATTTAAAAACATATCCATTACCGCGTGATCATCTTCTTCTGCGCTTTTCATTAATCCTGAATAGAAAGAACACCGCTTGACGCAATTACAATAGATTCGTTGAAATTTTAATGAATAACTGAGACCACGTTTCAATAAAACAATACGATTTTAAAATTTCCCTATCTAATCATGAAATGAGATTATTTTGTGATAATTTTATGAAGAATGAAATTATTTTCATTATTTCTATTTTTTATATAAAAAAAAGACAATGAAGAAGTTTCTTACACATCGAAACAAATGTTGGCTATTTGTATTTACTCCAATACAAAATTCAGGTTATATTAATCGAGTCCGTTAATAAAAGACAATTAGCTACAAATATTAGTATTTTACGGTAAAACTATTATTGAATAAACTGTATTATTTATAATTAATAATATCGAAATAAATCAATAAAATATTTTTAGCAATAGGTATTTACTTACAGTAGAATGTCGCCAATAATGGATTAATTGATGGATATCGCAGCTCGGTGCCAATAGTAAGTAGTCCCTCCATTCGTCAAAGCTGATATTTAGGCTCCCGTCTTGATCCATTCTGAAATTAAACAATAAAAAGAAATAACAAGTTTCCTATCGAATGTGAAATAAAAATAATATAAATGATAAATAAGAATATAAATTAGAGTAACTGTATAAGTATGTTTATATTAACCACACAGTTAGCTATAAACAATTCAACGTAGACAACTAATCGAACTACAATGAAAACAATAACACGTAGAGTTGATATAGAATGGTGCATGAAAGTGTCTGGTGGCCCAGAGTATGCGAATATTTTTAGAACCTGCTACAAATAGAATTGACTGAGATTATAATACAAACTTTAAGCAGCACGACAAAGCCTAAAGAATGAAAAAGAAAAAATAAAAACGTACTAATTTGACAGATACCTCTGTAACAGATTCCGGGCCTCGCTTTTATCCAGTGGAATTCCCAGCTCATGGAACGCCCTTATCAGTTCCTCCAAATCTATTTTACCTAGAAATTAATAACATATGTTTAGAATTTATTAGGAAATCCTAACAAAAATATCTATAATATAAGGTTTTTACTCAAAACTCAATATTATACAAAATATAACAAACAATTATTACTATTTTATTATAGTATTGCGTAACGAGTAAACACCAAAATATTAAGAGTTGGTAAACAATACAAAAATAATATCATTTTTCAAGTACATAACAATAAATCGATAGCCTTTTTTGTTTGTTCTATAATAAATAGACACATGTGTAAAATATTAAGCGAAAACATATAATAAAAACTGCTTATCCGACAAATAACAAGGAATTATTTTCGTAATTAAATATATTCGTTAACGTAAATAAACTTCTGCATTCAAAAAAATGATGTGCAAATATAGTTTGCATATCAATATTCTGATTATATAATTTGAACACATAACTCTAATTTTAGCTCAGTAACCAGTTGCATCGATAGTAATAAAAGTGAAAATTCACCAAGTAAGTTATTACTGTACAATTTACGTTCACATTTTGATTACAAATTTGCCAAAGGCAAATGTGTATTTCAGTATGTTTATATTAATATGTCTCACCATCTTTATTTTTATCCAAGTTTGAGAAATGCAGCTTCAACTTCTTCTCGTGCTCCCTGACATAATAGATGAAGTCGGCGAGTGAAATATCGCCACTCTTATCAGTGTCCGACTGCTGCAAGAATTTCTGCAAACACAAAAAGGTTAAATTATGTTATATACGCAAAAAGACATTATTCTGCCTAGAGATTGTTATCTCAGTGGAATCTGCAGTACTTATCGTTGTAAAGTCTTCAGACAATGTATGTAAAGTCGATAATTAAGCAATTTAGACTAAATTCAACATTTTATTATAAGTTTATCAAACTAGAATCCATAGAAATAGAGTTGTCCAACTAAAGTTATTTGCACAAGGTTCACTTTATAAATGAATGAACATTCATAGTGAGGGATACATTTTTTTTGGGTAAGCAATTTGATTTGTGTCTTTGAATGTACACAATTAGTATACAGTTCAATTAGTACAGTTGACACCTTTACAATCACTAACCCTAAACGTTTAATGTGTACGTTTAATGTGTTTCAGAAATGGTTTTTAAGGATATTACATAATTAAGAAAGATGTAGGCCAAATGGAGTATGTATCATCGAAATTAATAAAATGGTTGGCAACAAGAACAGTTGACATACAATGAATACGTAAGCATCGATAAAATAAATGCGAAATCATTTAAAAAATAACTGTGTTAACTTTCAAACAGGATGAAACGGAATTCGGCTTCCTTTAGTAATCATGAGCAACATGAATTGAATTGACAGAACTATAAAAAATACAATTAGTAACAAAAATGGGTCCACTTTGCATCCTGAAACCATAAACTTAAATAATATAACTAGTACTATATTAAACTAGCTAGCAAATGCATTCTATGGAAAACAAAGATTAACTAAGATTATAATCTATCAGAGTACTAAGGGCGTTTCTTCTATTTTCCATTTGTAACCTTGCCAAGTGTGTCACAGCGTTTTACCACATTTTAAGTAAAATCAATATCTCCAGTCAGGGTCAGATGCCAGAGATAGGTTACAATACATGCATGCACATCGAACATTTTTTTTGCAACTGACCCTGACTGATCGCGAAGGTTTGCATCTGGATATAGGTTCATAAAACCAAGTAAATGCATTCGAAGAAAATAAAACTTACTCTGAACACTGATTCCTCCAATTTTGTAATGGGTAAACCAGATGCAAGTGTAGAGTAGTCAACGTCGGGGTTGGACGAAGAGAAACAAATATTTAAATTTTAAATGAAGAAGTTAATTATCAGAAAATGTAAATTTTGACATGTTTTTAACATGTACTAAAAGTTATTGATAATTATGTTTGATAGATTGGAGAGTATTAGGAAGTGAAACGCACATTCCGGTCCATCTCCCTCCACGTGTAGTAACATTTTTAAGAGAAGGAAGTTCTTCTAGCAACGTTTAGACCGTGAAGTTTCAAAGGTTGGAGATCATCAGCCAACATCAAGGTCAGCATTTAGGCTTGTTAGGCAACTTTATGTAAATACATTCACCAAACATGTATATTGACAATAAGATGTATTAAGGTTCACATTGCTAATTTTAATGCGATCCGAGAGGGGGTTTCGTCCGTCCAATAAATGGCATTTGGAAGGTGAGTTAATTTAGGATGTGATAATTTACAACTTACCTCTGCATACCGATGATGGACACCGAACTTTCTAAGTGCACTCGACAGATCGTGTATATCAATTTTGCCATCCCCGTCCTTGTCCAGGTTGGCAAAAAGCTTGCCCAGACGCTCCTCATCCTCCTGGGGCAATTCGTGCAAGTAATGGGGTGGTAAATTTCTAGCCATGGGGTCCACCTCGGCCGTGCGGTGCGGCATCGTCGACGTTCACTTTGTTTGCAAAAAACGAGAAGTGAAAGCACCGATTACGCACAGTTTATTTAACGGAATCGCGATGATCGCATTTACAATGTCTCTTCACCTCTTTTTGCCGCAATGCGCCTTCTACCGTGTTCAAGACCTGAATTGACAGCTGTTTGAGAATCACCAACTACGATCAACAACTCCCTCTTGCGTCTTGCCTCGTAACCGTGTAAATAGCGCCGTCTACAGTTCAAATATAAATCAATAAAAACAACTGAAAACCATAATATTTATATTCAAATAATCTTTATCGCTTGTATAATATCAGAATAATCTGATACCAAAAAAATGCATTGCATTGTGAGGTCAATTATTATCAAAATGGTGCACCTAGATCACCTAGTTGCGTTGACAGTAATAAAATTATTAATATAAAGAAAATTTATATATTATTACTAAATTTAAATGTAATCATTTAAATAATCAAAATACATTATTTCAATAGTATAGAGGTAATCATTTTACATTTTAAAAATTATGGTAAGATTTTTCATAATTATATCAATAATTAGCAAAATGCATTGTAAATGCTCTCTGAGAGAGCGCCTAATATAATGAAAGAACATCACATGTATATTAAGTTGCCTGTATTACATAAGTACGACAAAAATTGAAATTAGAATTTCGTAAAAAAACAATCCGATAAGAAAGATCGTTGGTTCGATCCTGAAAAACCAACAAAATTTGTGGGGGTCGATAATCCCGAAAAGGGATAGGAATAGGGCCAATATTAAAAAAAAGTATAAAGACCGACCTAATTTACTTAATGTTGTAATAATCATGGCCGGATTTGAGCCGATTGGAGCGATTGCGCCAAATCGGGTTGAGGGGCCCCGAAAAAAAGACAATCGGGTCTCGTACTTATTGCTAATAATCCTACGATTATTGGAAGAAGACTTTAGAAACAAATGGGGCAATAAGCATAATATAATTACACAAGGTAAAACATTAGACCGTGCATTGCGAAATATGTCTGTCGAGCTTGTTTTTATGCTTACGATCCTATTTTCACCAAATTCACGCGTTTGAAAATTGATGATTTTGAATATTTACACACAACAACTGAAAATAATTTAAATGTATTGGACTCAAAGTTTCGCATAAATTGAAGAAGATTTATTTAACACAACGAATAAATAGTGATGAACCAGCACAAACCACATATAAAACAGAATTGCATCAAAAAGATCATTCTATCAATTTAGTGTTGTCAACAAAGGTGTTTTGTATATTTTGTGCTGCATCCAAATGATCAATGAATGTGTTTACTTTTAACAACTAATGAAATTGGATGAAGCAAATCGTGTTTCACCTTTGATAACTCGTGGAAAATTATTAGAGCTTGTTGGAATGTTGCATCCCCCATATAGCCCCCATATAGTTTCAAAACTCTTTGAATGATAAAACTTTAATTATGATGACCAGAAATCACATTCGTTCATTTTTTTTGCTGATAAGGATCAGAAGTTTTCCGAGCGCGGAAAATATATAATTGATATGAAAAATAGTTTTATTTTACACTAAAAAACCGAATGTACTTTTCTTACCACATATACTTAATTACAATTAATAACAAAATTATACTATGTTTACTAACTACATGATAATTATACCACTAACTTAGATAGAAAATAATATAGATGTTATACAAAAAAATATTTGGCTATGCATTTGAATCTGTAAGTATGCATGATTATTTTTGCTTTGGAGCGCCAGCTGACCTTGTATGAACTCTTGTAACAATGCGACTATAACATCGATGAAACTTAAATAAATTAAATACGTTAATTAGAATTAAATTCTGCGAATTATTTTATTTCGAGTAATGTTAAGCATAGGGAAAATATGCCATAAGATCTTATGTTGTGTCCAACCTTTATTATTACAATAATTATTGTTAATATAGTGTATTGACGAACTAAAGACATCCACGGCGTCTCTTAGTCGTATATAAGCTTATTATAAGCATAAAAGTACCTCCACCGTTACCCCGATACGATATACTTTAATATAAACAAACAGGACCAAGCGTAAACAATCCCACCGATACTCCTATACCTTTACTCCGAATTCAAGTACTTTTATAAACACATAATAATCTTTACACGTAGAATCCTAATCAATCCTCTTTTTCATATAAACAAATTCAAAGGATTTTGATCCGAACTCATAATAAACAAATCCACCCAAGCCGAATCCCGCGTAATCATCAATATATACAAGCCCTAATCCCAATCGCAACTCCCACCCCGCAATAATTAGAATGTAAGTAAAATAAGTATTTAGAATTAGTCTTAGTCACCCTGTTAAAGTATCCATTGTCTTGGTTCTTTGTATCCAAGCGTACCAATTATTATAATAAACTTGTTTAAAACCATTTGAATTATTTAATTCCTACAACTGACACTCCACAACGACAACACCAGATAATATTCCATTGTGGCCAGAATTCCATCTTTGAGACATGACACTTCTTTATATTTGAACGCTTGAATTTTGGGACCTTAAATTTTTAAGTACAAAATAGGTTCGTGGAACAAGAAGTTTGAGAAACACTGATTCAAATAACATTGATAATAATAATATTACAATTTTCGCAACGAAAAACTGTAAGCACATAAATAATTGTAGACTTTTTTAGGTGACCGTTCTAGATCAGTGATTCTCAAAGTGTGGGTCGCGACAGATCAATCCTGGTTGTTTTTCTACATACTCATTCTTCGGGGGTCTCAGAACCTTTTTATGTCAAAAAGGGGGTCGCGGACCAAAAAGTTTGAGAATCACTGCACTAGATCACTATATAATATAGAGTGGAACCTCGTATAACGAGTAATTCGCTTAACAAGCAAAATAAATTGTAAAAAAATGATATAAGGCTTTTTAATAAAAAAAAACGACATTATAAAATGACAAATTATACTGTAGTATTCAAAATATAACTCGCACAAATAAATAACAACATTTCTAGTAAAATAATAAAATAATTGTTGGGTAAAAACAATGTAGCTCTAGTTCAAACCTTTTTTCGAATAGGTATTTTTGACCTGACGTAAGTCTTCGATATGGTTTTGCTGCTACCTTTCACTCCTCCTTTACCTACGGGCTTCAAGTTAGTCACGTTGCTTAATCTGTAATTGTGTAAACATATCGGTAGCAGCTTTTGGGGAATTTATAATATTTGCTTTATTTTTATAGCCTTCAAACATATCATGTAAATTATAATCATTCAAATTTGATTCATCTCTATTCACAACATTACTTTTCTTTTTATATTCACCTGCCATTTTTTTTCATTGGACTTTTTTGTATCAAATCCTCGATAAGTGGATGTTTGAGTGCAACATCAGAATCGGACACAGCATGATATTTTTTCAGCTTTTTAATTCTTATTTTGTTGATGAAATGAAAATATGAATGAATTTTATATTTTATCCCCTTTCTTTTTTGGATCTCATCCGAACCTGGAAAATTTCAGAAACAAAATTAATGGATTTAATTCTTCTTTGTTTCCTCGTTAACACTTTACTGGATGATCCCACATCACTCATCTTGAAAGTAGCTTTTAAATTAATTGTTTTTATTAATCTAATAAAATCCAAAATACAATACACTCATTTTAAATTCAATTTTATTTTTAAATTAATTACTTTAGTTAATAATATTAATATTCCACAGTAATAAAATATAAACTGTATATTATAACTATATATATACAGCAATATAATGATATATAAAAAGAATTACTAACATTTAAAGATGTAATGCAATTAGCCTATATTATTATTTTATAATGTATGTGTAGTTGCATATGATAGTTTTACATTATTTTTATAATATTTTTTCCTGTAATTACTAAAGAAATGCTTACAATGAAATGAAATTATTGTTATTTTCCATTATTTTTTCTTAATTTTTGAACATTGACTAAAGGTATCTCACACTCTCCTTTTATTGTTAAGTAAACATTTGCAATTATAATCAGATACCATAATTTCAAACTCGATTCACAGATGAAAGTCATGTCATCATCCCAATTTATACGGTATTTGCGACGGATCATTCTGATGGTACTGCACGTGCAGGAACGGCCCTGATAATAAGAAGCAGCATTAAGCACTACCCATTGCCGAACTTTCAGGAAGAGCACATGCAGGCAACAAGCGTCGTTGTAGAGGATTGGAGAGGTCCAATTAATATATCTTCAATGTACTGCCCACCGAATCACAACAACAAACTTGAGCAATTTGTCGAGTTCTTCGACATTCTGGATGGTCGCTTCATTGCTGCTGGAGACTACAATGCGAAGCATACCATGTGGGGCTCCAGACTTACAACAACAAAAGGTATCTCCAATAACTACCTTTCCATAGACACGAGTTTGAACCTATCATCCGACCATTCGCCAAGTATCTTCCCAGTATCGGCATTAGGGTAATAACGCTTATCTTCAACGCAATCATGAGACTCGGTATATCTCCATGACAGTGGAAGGTAGCCCAAATCATACTCATTGCCAAACCTGGAAAACCAGCCTCCTGCCGGTACTGTCTAAACCAGTGATTCACAAAGTGGTCTATATCGACCCCCAGGGGTCTACGTCAGCGAAAAAATTTGGGGGTCCATGAAATGAAAATGGGGGACCACGATAGTGGATCTCAACATACACTGATAGTACCTATTTACAAAACAACATACCCGTTACTTATTTATATATATATATATATTTATACTTATGGTATATATATACATCGTCATACCTAGTGGAAAGGGCGTTCAGCGCTGTTACCAATCTCCAAGGGAAGAAAAGAAACAGACTGGACATCATTAGCCGAGGAGATTTAAAATTAAAGCTTACAAAATTGACGCCAAATGTTGATAATTTATTATTAAAGAATCAGGTTCATCCTTCTCACTAAAAACATTTACTTATTGCTTAGTTTATTTTATGTTACGTATATTTTATATAACAGTTACAAAATTTTATTTTGTGTAGTTTTAATTTAAATTCAATTAATAAATGTATAAAATTTAACATGTGTTTTTACTTTAAGTTTTTAACACTAAACTTCACTACAGTTAGAAATTTACAAAAAATCAATATCAGGTAAGTATGGGGTCTACCCAAAACCGAAAAACATGGCAAGGGGTCTATGATACAAAAAAGTTTGGGAACCTCTGGTCTAAACTGTTCCAGAAGCTGTTGCTGCGAGGACTGAAGCCCTGGTTGTTGGATAGTCATCTCATTTCGGAACATCAGTTCGGATTTCGTGAGCGACATGGCACTGTGGAACAGGTGCATCGTGTGGTGGATGTTATTGGCAAAAGTCTTGAGGAGAAGAAGTACTGCTCTGTCGCTTTCCTCGACATCTCATGCAGTCTCCCACATGATTATTAGGTCATATTCAAATTGTACTTGACTGAGTGGCACTTCCAATTTAAGATGTATATTGACATAAATAATCGGTTAGAAGTTTTAAATGTTGAAGTCCTTTGCTTAAGTTGAAGTTTGCAACACTTTGCTAATTTTGCTCAAAATATCGTGACATAAAAAACAACAAATAAATTTAAATATTGGTATTTCTTCTGTTAAAAACTTTTTTGTTATCTTCAAGCAAAATGTCTCATACCAACATTTGATATTTCTAACAAATCCTCGTTTCAGTTTTTTAATGACTTCCATTTAGTTTATGTTTTCGTTTTAATGTTTATCTCTTACATATAAATGGTTGGTTGATGCGTAAAATAAATTATACATTTCTGAGAAACAGAGAGGTTAAAGTAGAGTGGCGGCGCGCAAGGAGAAGAGTTTGTTCTAAACAAAACCCTCGTGGATACCCAATTACATTTGTTAATGTTAATTAATAATGAATAACTCTGTGATCCAAGCCCAGAACACCATCCATAAAGCACAGTTTCCAAACTCTGACTGTTCCTCAGTTATCCAGTTTTGATTTCTCCGCACGCACCCAGTTAGGAGATTCCACTGAGAATCCAAGAAAGTGCATAAATATGAAATGGGGCCCCCAATGCATGAATGAGGGCAACTTCAAAAAAAAATTGTGAAAGTGGGGGTGACATCCTCAACTAACACTGTTTGGTGGCCCCACATAACTTGGGGCCTCGGGCATTTGCCCGATTGACCGGTCGTAGCGACGTCTCTGATTAGACGTTATGTGATGTTTACCGTGGTTCATTTTTAAATAATGTGAGATTATAGTCTACCTCCATGTACATCATGCGCGAAATATGACGATAACAGAACGATTATTTAACTTATTTGAATATTTGTATTATGCCTCTACAATAATGATTTGTGAAATGTTAAATATTCCTTTTTTCTTCTATATATTATATGAAATTCAACATATATAATATTTTGTGTATATCAATGTATTTCTAATATTTCATCTATGTACATGCATAGACATGTTATATAATTTTTAACGTGTTGGTAGAGTAAATTTCCTGTAACAAGTTAAGTGTATCAAAACTCACAGACTCGTAGATTGAGGAAGTCCAACGTAGATCTAAAATATTATAAACATTTATTTTGAAATATATATGCACCGATGGATTGTAATAAAACGAGATTAATATGTTTCAACAGCCAGGAAAGAAAAAAAGTAAACAATAATTGTTCATTGGTTAAACGGGCAAATAAAACGCGGAAAAGGGAGCAAGAAATGAAAATAATACGAAGAGGAGTGTGTAAATTACGGAACAAAACACCCTTCTAGTGTTCAGCATGCGCAGATATTCCGAACTGGTAGAAATATTGAATAGCGAACAACCCTTGAAACGGTGCGAGAGCTACAGCCAGTTTTAGTACTATACGCGCCAGGAAACCGTGCAGGTGTCCAATTTCTTTAGACAGAAAGTACATACTACCCCTTTTTTTAATGTTATCGTAATTTTGTTTTACCCTCTCGAAACTAGAAGATATGTCGTTAGTATGACGCAATTACTAGCTATAAATTATGTAAAATGGAGCCTACTAGCTCCACGCCAAGTCCAGAAACGAGTATTGCAGATTCTACTTACACAAGGTAAATGTAACAAAAAAAAACATATGCACACAAAGCGACTCCAATTATGCTATGTAGGCCTGCAGGTTCCAAAATCGAATATTGTTATTTATATGAATCATCATACATTAATACCATTTTTTTCTACCTCGTTCGCATTCTCGCTGTTGCGTTGATTATGCAAAGGGCGCAGGAATATGTGGGTTAATGTGTTTTTGCAGTAACCTCATAAAAGTTTCTTTTATGGATTAATTATTACTTCCTTATATACATCATCTTCCAACGAAACTTCCTTCAATATTCAAGTAACCCAAAGATGGTCTTATATTTAAATAATAGAATAATGAAAGTACTAAATATAGTTGTATACTATACGATTTAAACTTGAGTCTACAGAACTAACTTTTTATTAGAAACGATTGCTATCAAGTTGAAAGTGCATGCAGTTGCATATCCTATTATTTAAAGTTCAATCAAATTATATGTTTTACGTAAAATCAATTTTACATCTTTGTAATTTTAATAAACTTTTAATCATCATATTCTACCTTACTGCAATGATAAACAAAAATATTTATATAATAAACGGAAAAACTCATAATATATTATTTTGTGTCATATATATGATACATAAGCTTTTAGTATTATTATTAATATAATTATCTACTGATTTACAGTTTAAAGTAATAAACTTATTATTGAAGTATGTTGATTAAAAATCGATATGTATTTATTAGAAAATTATATTTATTTCTAAATCATTATACTTATTACAATTTTGAATTCATATTATTTTAAAACTTAATATTAATGTTAATGTTGTCTAGTTGAATCTCGGTCGTTAAAGATAATTAGTACCTAAGAAGCAACCAAAGCTTATATCTAATTCCCAGTTTTTCTAAGGAAACTGAAGCGTGTTTGTTTTGATTTTATGTTGGGAAACCGATGCGTATCTTTTGTTTTTATATTGGGATAACCGAGACGTACTATGCGCATTATGTTTATAATCGCATAATGCAGCTTATATCTGTCTGGATTCTCTATTCATCCGGTTTGGAAATTTCAAAACAAACTAAATTTTAATTAAGAAAAAAAAACATTTTTTTATACATAAATAATTGTTTTTTTGATTTTTGTATGTAATTAGGTCCTCGATTAGTCCGGTTTCAATCAGTCCGTTATATTGACGGATCCGATTATATGCAAAATGTTACTGCATATAAATTTAAAAATTGTTATATTAACTTTATGGTATTGAAATATATGACATATTTAGTTACAGTGGGCCATAAAACATTAGATTGTATTGAAAAGCTATAGATCTGAAAGAAAATTATTATTGGGTTGTATTTTCTTTATTAAAATTTTCAATAAATCAGATTTGGTCGATCTCAACGCACATAGATATTTTTTGCACGAAGAATAAACATCTAGAAAAGACGTAAAAATATCAGTGATTTTCAAGCGGTATGCCTTGAGATGATATGTTAAGTTTGCCACAAAATCGTTTAAAGGTAATTAAATTATTTTCGAAAGACTTTCAAAGCACAATAAGAGTACATATCAAAATGAAAACATTATCATAATTTAAGTGTACTTCGGAGGTATAGCTATACTTGTGAAATAGAAAAGTTGAAAAAACACTGGTTTATATTGGACTATTAAAAAGAAACAATATAGTTATAGTACGTTTCAGTAATAGATGTATATAAATATTTTCTAAATAATATTTAGTTATCTTTCTCATAGTTGATACTCTTATATCTATTTTCAAAGTGCATGTTTCTTCTAGTTACACTACTGTTATGTTAAGTTAATTTAATTTTGTGAGTGGTCAATCTATCTACTTTTAATACGAATTATATTTGATTTATGAATTAATGACCGACATCATCTACCATTTCTTCCAGTGTTAAACAAGAACCGAGTTCTAATCCAGCCAGCCCCCTGGAGGCATCAAGTCCAACTTCAATAGCTGTTAGGACCAGAGGTACGATAATTAAATTTAAATATTCATACCAATTGCGTAACTGTTCAAACATCAACGCATTCTCCGGAATGATAAATAAAAATAAATCTTTGGGACTTCATTACATTCACAATATATTTGTGAAAAAAAATCTGGTTTATATTTTTTATAATTAAATTATAAATATCACCTGTGATATAATTCATAATTCATTAATCAATTGCATGCAATGGAGAAAATGGTAATAATAATAGTTACTTTTTGTTAATAAGCAACATGTGTACTTTCATAAATAAATAAAGAAAACGGTGTGCGCTTTTAATGTGTACCAACGCCGACACAAAAACACATACAAATTATAGGAAATCGTTCTGCATACGGAAATTTCTGAAATAGCTGCTAGATATGTATTCATGCTCATAACCAGTAATTGCAAAGCGAATACTTTTCAATGATCTGCGAGCGCAGTTGAACGTTGCCTAAAGATAATTTAAAGGAAGCGAACGATAAAGATGCACAAACTTTGATATGATTCAATATTTACAATTGCGATGATGATCTCAATTTATTTTCTATTATAATTTTAATGGATTGCAAAGAAATAGTAGACGTATAAACGTCAACTAGTTGCTCTTTATGAAAAATTTTATTACAAATTTATGTTTTACAAAGTTATTATACTACTGTTAGAAAATTTTAATAAAACAGATTTGCAATCATAAAATAATTAATAATTATCTTACATATACAGTCCTTTAACCTCCTTTAACGTTACCTTGATATAGCGCGATTTTATGTAAAAATATTAACTATAGAATCTATAGTTATACTAGAAGAAGAAAATACTATTTAATAGATTAGTAATGATGTTATCAATTAAACGTTTCGAAAATGTCGACAAAAAGTATGTAAGAAATTTATTAAATTCGTAAGATGACGGCTTTTCAATGGTATTTTTAAAATAACTTAGTATCAACGATGCAAAAGAATACGAAGACTAATTATAGAAAATACTAATTGTGAAAAGTGAAAATAATTAGAATTTCAGGAGAAGTGTTATTATTAAGTTATCAGTGTTACATTTAATTAATCCGAATTATTATTCAATAAAAAAGGATTAAAGTGTAAAATCGTATTCTAAAATGTCGAGATTTAGTCTTCTATAACTTTTCGTAACACATGCAAACAATGATTTTTTCAATATTTACTTCTCAAAATATTTTATATATTCCGAGAAAAATAGGTAACCTGCTTACCGACTGAGACCGGTTAAAAAATTGTTAATATTTATTTTCTTAAATTAAATTAAAATTGAACAATCGATATAAAAGACAAGTGTGTTTACACTGTTATTACAACTTTTATCAGGGTTCAGATTAAATTCAGTTTTATATTTTCAAGATGACTGCATTAAAAAAAATTCATACTATTTCCTTTATATTTGATGGAAAAGTGATATTTTGAAGAATGAAATATGTTCCAATTATGTGAAGGCAGTAAAAATAAAAGTTATTAAAAAAATTAAAAAAAACAGACGAAAAGTGTGAACATGTACTTTATAAAACATATTGTTATGTATAGTCGACCAATATCAGTCCTCAGGAATAAATAATGAAGAAGGAATTATTTTGAATAGACTTAGAAAATCAGATTTTTATCATTATTCCGAGTGATGCAAAACAGTGGTTCTTAACCGTTTGGTAGTCGCGTCCTTCTTAAAAACCTGTAATATATTCGCGGCCCTCTTAACATTTTAAAATATTTTCTTAACATAATATTTATAAAAATAAATCTAAAAACAACATTCATAATATTATAATATAAACGCTAATATTTATTATAATTAAATACTTTATGTGTTTATAATTGTCTGTAATCATTTAAGAATAATTTGGAAACATGTCGAAAACATTCGATTCTATTCCTCGTATTAATTTACGAAGTTCCATTTTCATCGCCTCTATTTTATCTCGCATGGAAAAAATGTTGTGTTGATTTCCTTGCATAAATAAATTTAGTTGGTTTAGAATGGAGAAGATATCTGCAAAGTAAGAAAGTTTTACAATCCAATTTTTATTGTCAAAATAAATGTCCAACTTTGATTTTTTATCATATAGAAATACAAAAAATGCTTTATAAATTGTAAACCTAGACTTATAAAAACTATTTTGATTTGTACATAAAAATGTTCTATTTTGGAAATATGTTTTGTTTTTTTTTTCTTTTTTAATACATTTAAGCTTTCTGCACATGTTTTACATTCATTCACGTTTTACTTAATTGCTCAATAACTAGTCAATTTAAAATATGTAATGAATATGGCTGTGAAAGAATAAATTGTCATAGTATTAGCGATTATCGTATAATCAGCTTTCAAATTTGAATAAATTCATTTTATGCCTCGAAATTAATGAGTTGATTAATAGAAAAATAATACATTTACAGAACATATTGAATATATTTTTTATTCCGGTTTAACAAAATTAAAATCTGGTCATATTAACCATAGTATTTTTCACCTCAGGACGCTCACTAATCGAAATGACTATATGTATATTAATTTCGATCAATAATATAAAATTCTTATATAATATCGATTATTTCATATGTTGATATTTAACTTCGTCCAAGGTCTACAGAACAACAAAAAGGAATTCTAAACTTGTACATGGTCACTATGAATCAATATAAATTAAAATATTTAATTAAACAATTAAGTTACATATTAAAAGAATATGACTAATAATTATTTTAATAATAATAACATTTATTTATTATAGTTTTAAGAATAAACACCTAATTTGCTACAGTTTTTCGGTAAAAATTCGGCTACTTTCACCTTTTATTGAATTGGTTGCATGCGCATGCATTTCCGGGGCTCGTATCCGGTAATGCTGCCTATGTATATATATACATGGAAAGCTGCGTGATCGATCCAGCTATCCAGATTATTTCGGTTTCAGTGAAGGGATGATGGACAAATTCGTGTGTGTGTGCCTGTGCACACAGTTTTATTATTACCGGCTTCTTGCCCAAAATATATGATACTATCAGGCCTTTTGCGACATTACTTCTTACTCATTGAACATTTTTTGGAACCAAGAATAGAATCAAAATTAGTTCTGTTGAAAGCCCAAGCTTTACGCACCAGTAATAAGTGTGCGTAAATATTTTATGTACCGTAAAAATGTAAACTTCACTAATTCGGCGATATTATCAATTCTTGTTTCTAGTTGTACCGGTAAAATTAAACACGTAAATGTTTTTATTAACTCTTATTAGATATGAATTTAGTTCACAATACACAATATAGAATTTTCCATTTATTTTATTTGAAATCTGAATTGCATTTTTGCATATAAATTTGTTTATGAATTAATGATCCATAGATTTATGCATTATGCAAATCCTTTCGTTACATTATTCCATAAATAAGCGGAATTAATCGTTGTGCAATATAACTAAACATTCTTAATATTTGAGTTGTAATAAAAAATACTGTAGATTTTATTTGGATTTTCAATATAAGATGTGTTTTGTAAGTAGGTGGCCGCGTTTTGTCATTTGAACGAGGGACAGTCGTGGTTGGTATTCGGTGTCGTCGACAAGTGCGTAAAGTGCGCACAAAGATAGACAATTCAGTCTATATTAAAACGATATAATGGTATTCTGGATGTAGTATGCATGCGTTGTATATGTGTGTGTTTGTACCTGGTGTAGAGGACAGTAATAGTAATAGCTGGTAGAGCTGCCAGAGGCTCAAAGGAGGAATAACCGAGGCCGTTCACCTCGACAACGTCGACTGCCAGAGCATTCACAAAAAGAGAATGAATCCTATACTATCAAATCAACAGCATCATCAGTAGGAAGCGCATTATTACCGAGCGATAATTATAAATCGTGAGAGAAAAGCTACAAAAAATACCTCCATTTTATCATTGTTTCTTGCACCTTCCACATCATCTGTTCTCCAAGGAAGTATGTCTGATTCTAATAAAGAAATAAGTATAATCAGATTTAATTTAATAAAATTATATCCTTCGAAGATATTGTATTTATTTAAATTTAATAGCTAGTTAGATAATTCTGTTACACCAAGTAATATGTTTGCAAGAATGAAAAATTATGTTCGTATTTCATTAAATTAATCTCGTGTCCGTCAGAGATCAGGATACTGAGAAATTCTGTTCTTGAAGCTGTCGTCGTTTTATTGCATAGTCCTAGTAGCTAAAATACAGTGTTTCCTGACTACGGCTATTAATCTGCATTAGAGGGTAACATTTCACGCATATTTTTGTTTCCGGGAAACTAGAAATTTATTTTAAATTTCCAGTATTTTCCAGGGAATTCCAGGAAGAAACTTAGAGCTTTTGTTGATAGTTTATATTTGTTCAAAAATAAGGTCAATAAATAAATTTATAAACGAATCTTAAATTGGGATGCAACATTTGGAAAGAAAGTTAAAAAAATGTGGTTGAGAATACTTTTACAATTGACTTGGCTACACATAAAGTGACCAAGTTTATGTCTAGTTTTCAATTCGATCTGTAGTTTTATTTTCTTAATCATCCATATTTAAGATATTTTATAAATTTATTAGATTAATAAACAAAAGTAAAGACTGCTTAATACTACGAATATTATTGATAGCTACTAATCTATTCTCTGTAGTTTATTGTTTAAAATCCATCTAAAATATATATTTTATTTATGAACTTGAGGAATTTAATGAATAATAAAAATGAAATAAAACAAATCTGATTATATTTCAAGATCGTTAATTGAAATTTCTTAAAATTTATCACATAGCCTTACATTTAATTAGGTAAGTCGTAGGTATATTGATAAATAAAAAAAGATAAGTATTTCGTATTCGTGGGATAATATTTACATCTTTAATTTTAAATGAAACCTTGTAGAGACAAAAGTTATGTAATACCATATCGAAAACGGGAGTCCTTGAAATCGAACCTTTGTTCCGGTGCCATCCCTTTTCCTGAGCAAAAGAGAGACCGGCCAAA